AGATTGATGTCCAATAAAAAATTATGAGCTGTAAAATTTGGTAGGCCAAAACAGAAGCCTAGTAATAAGGCATTTAAAATATCCCTTGATGCCTTAAAGACAAAATAACACTTTTACCCCAATCATTTGTTTCGTAACCCGTCGTCAAGAGTACGAGCTTATATTTGGCTCCAAATTCTCTCTATTCGCTATCTTAGGCCACCAGAACCTCCAGCTATTTACAAACATGACAGGCATTTCAGAGATATTCGCTATTTTTTGAAATTTATAAGTGCTGACACTTGCTGCAGGCAATTTATTATCACAATGACTATATTTTTTAAAAACTCGTTAATAGCGATGCATCTTTTGAGTCATACTCAGGTAAATGATGCCACTACTATGTTTATTATAACTTTTTGAATGTATTTAGATATATTTACGATAGTGCATTTTATCTCAAATATATTGTTTTTGAAAGTTTACCTTGCCTACGATGGGTTACCTTTGGCTCGACCCAGGGATTATTATGGCCATTTTTCATGATTAATTAACATAGAGTTAGCTTATAAATATGCTCATTTTCTCTAAACCTTTTATTGGCTGATGAGTCTATTTTTTCTGCTACAATATGCATTAATTTATTCTGTATATTTCATTAAGGTCAAGAGCTTTCTAGTGTTTTTCGGCATAAAATTCCATTCGGATCCTTTTTTCTGATGGAATTACTTCATGCCCACTAAATGCTTGGCAATCTTTAATTTTGCTTTATTATCTATTTTTCATGATTAAGGTAATGAACACTGGACTGATATGCATTCTTGATGTTGATCTTGCCGGTGTAAAATCTATATATGCAGTTCGATCGAAGCTGAATCCTCGCTTTATATTTATTCGGCCACCTTCTATGACGATATTGGAGAAACGATTACGCGATAGAGGGACAGAAACTGAAGAGAAATTGCAGGCTCGCATTTCGCGAGCGAATGCCGACATAGTGTTCGCCGATAGCATGGATGGCAAGGTGTGTGACATCTACATGTAATATATCCACAGGCATCATCATGTCTATTTAAATACACTGAATTTATGGTACCAATAACTTCTTTAGGCACAATTATTTTTGAGGCTACTCTCATTCCCTCTAAATAACTGATGGCATAATTCTAATGAAAGGAAGTCATGATAAAACGACTTAGTATAATAAGATTTGACTCGTCTCTGCGTGTCTACTAATCTTTGCCTGCAAGCAGATAAACGTATATTTATATTTTTGGTTGTAAATGCATTCCTTCGTATGTGTTTATCTTTATAATTTTAAAAGTATATCAGGATAAGCATGCCAATTTTTCTTGAGAAATGAGGGTT